GCGACTCTGTTCCCCTTTCGGGCTCTGTCTTTACATTTATTTTGAAAGATGAAGCTCACGATTATGGTAAGGGGCGTTACATTTCCGACGAGTGCTTGCGGTGTTCGGCCAATCACAATGCACTGGGTCAGCTGGCCAATCAGAGCAGACTGCGCTTGTCGGAAGGAGGGACTTTGTAGAAAACGAAGCGTTTGAGAGAGGCGGGGCATAGAGGACCTACAATAATGTACAGTATTTGAAAAAGAATGTGTTTTTTGAACATTAAAGCATGTCAACATATTCTGTTACACCAAATAATGATCTTTAAAAAAAGCATCATATGACCCCTTTAATGAATTAATTCAAGACGTAGTGACTTAAGCCTAACGCTTCGCAGCCCATTTGGCAAACTCAACAAAGCAAAATCAGTGTTTGGTCAAAAGGAATGTTAACAAATTACCTCCTGTAGCACCTCCGCTCTCAATGGCTTTCTTCACTTTTTCCTGGTCATCCCAGCGGAGGTCAGTAAATCCAGATATGTCAGAGGGCAACTGTACTGCAGCCCGGAGCCAAAAGCAGGAAAAATGGTGCCAGTGGGGCACTTTGCCATCAAACATGGGAGACTGTGGAACACAGACAGGTGTTGGACCATTAACCAAGTAGATACAGCAACCATGTTATGCAACAATGAATGAAATGCCTGTAAACTGAAAGCACATAAAAACATAAGATAAGTCACAGCAGTCAGCAAACTGGTCATTTCCGGTCCTGAGAACAGCTGAGAATTTACAGTATAACAGATCACGTCTAAACACATATTGGGTATTTTTACAGTGCTCTTTCATGTCTATGGTGTTACAGCAGTCTATCACAAACAAATGTAAACAATGAGTTTAATAAGTCATGAATGCATAGACTTGAAATGAAAAACAGACATGACATGGCCATTTAAAACACGTTTCTCCTGGGCTTCACTGTACTAGCAATGCATTGCTACAACACAGCTTTGTGTTTATTGCTCCCACAAAATCAAAAGCATCAAAAACAACATTCTTTTTTACATTTGTTTCTTGCTAATGTTGCCCAAAACATCACTAAACCCCTATATAAACTGATGGCCATAGGAATTCACTGCTGATTTCTTTCTTTCCTTGACTGTGAACCATTTAAACTCCTCCTGGGCCTGAGACACACTCATACATACGTGTCGTGTACCGCATCGATTACACCTTAGCATTCAAGAACATAAATGCAAAACCAAATGCATTTACAAAACCCCAGATGATATTCTATCAGTATTATTGCCTGAAAGTTGCACACAATTCCTCACCTGCACCATAATGGCCATTCTCAACGAGTCTTTTGCTATGTTTTCCTTGCATTTCTTGCAAGAGGCGCGTCCACTTTTCGCATACTCGGCTTTGTAGAGTTTGTCATCCTGTGAATCAGCCATTTCTCCGTTTATAATTGTGAAAAGCAGATGTTTGCAATCTAATTGTGGTCAGAAAGGCCAAAAACTACAGTGAGTAACAGCGCTCAACCCGCGTGCAGAAGCACTGAAGCACCCGCGCAGAATACCAGCCCAAACCAATCGAGTCAAGAGTCTCCGTTCCTCTAGAGTGGTTAGTTAATCCATAGAAATATAACGTTACTGTAATTTTATAGCCTTGTTTTAAACAACACAACACTTGTACGCCCACATTGGTAAGAAACAGAGGCGGTATGTTTATGTCCATTACAAAAATACCATAGTGACCATACACGCTATGTGCTTCAAACAAGGTAAAAAAAACATTTCTGTCTTATTTGAAGTTTTTATGTTTTCTTTTAAAAACCAGATGTTACTGTAGTATTTTTGGCGGGAACTGTGCTTACCATGGTAAAGCGTTTTTGAAAGGGATGGGTAAATGAATATCTCGATTACGGGCAATTTAGTTTATGATATATAATTTACCATACGCTAAAACTATATAAGAAAGAATGTAACATTTCTGGTTTCCTAGACTAGCAGCTAAATAGCGATGTCGCTAGCTATTAATAGTCTGACTCCGACGGTCAATTACTGTCAAGTTGTGTCAACAATGTTTTAATGACCAAATACAACCAGATCAGTGTCAGTCAACAACTTTTCAGTCTTACCTGTGAAAAGTAATTCCCCGAGACCTATTTTCAATTGTGCGGCGGTTTGTACAGCCCCAAGCAGCACACGACTGAGGCATTTTCTCGAGTCCACTTATGAGAATGATGGAAAAGATGCCCGCACCAAGATGGCGGCGACGTTGACGTACGATCCAGCGGCCAATGAGGCGTCTAGGTATTTATATGTCTATGAGTTAATCGAACTCAGAGCTACGTTACTGTAATTTTATAGCCTTGTTTTAAACAACACAACACTTGTACGCCCACATTGGTAAGAAACAGAGGCGGTATGTTTATGTCCATTACAAAAATACCATAGTGACCATACACGCTATGTGCTTCAAACAAGGTAAAAAAAACATTTCTGTCTTATTTGAAGTTTTTATGTTTTCTTTTAAAAACCAGATGTTACTGTAGTATTTTTGGCGGGAACTGTGCTTACCATGGTAAAGCGTTTTTGAAAGGGATGGGTTACTTGACTCAACTTATGTAATAAGAACTCTGTTGAAAACGCAACTGGATTTCTAGCATAAAGAAAAGAACAGACAAAAGGCAGATACATTAATTTATTTTCATTCATACATTTATATATATGCAAATTTTGTCAATAAACATATGCATGTAATTGGATGCATAGTACTAAAAGAAAGCATGCCATGGTGTTATCATGATACATCACAGTGGAATATTAAACAAAGGCTACAAAATCAGTTAATGTATGTGACATTTTATGTTTTCAATACAATACTTTGATCATTAAACATTAATTATATTAAAGTATATTTTGGTAGATAAAGGTGGTTTAATGTATGTAAAATGGCTGTTACACGTGTATTTTTACACTTTAATTGGCATTAGAATTTATATGAAGAAAAAAGATAGAATATTATACTATATAAAAAACTATATTTTAACCTTAAAACAAGTATTATAGATGTTCAAAAATATATAACATTTTCAGAATCTTCTTTAATAATCCTGTGAGATACAAAATAATCTTTTGAGATCATAGAACTCATAAAGAAGTAACAGTTTGTGCACACTTTGTAACTATGGTACATATGAGGTATTTTTTGTATGCTGTCAGGCATGTATGAGGAACAATTCTGTAAACTGCATTTTTCATGTGATTATCTGAACATGTTTTCATTGGCTGTAGCAAAGTCAAATGTAGCGTATCAAGAACCTTACTAAATGTGTGGCCCAAGTGAAATTTATGAAAATATGCAGTATTTATGAAATAGGTACAAAAATAGTCATTATTCAGCTTTGTTGTATAGACAAATCCATATAAGGATTTTATATGATATTTGAGGTATCCTTTTAAAGATGAAGGCAGTGTTTCAACTGGATGTCCCTCAAATTATGGTAAATATAGGTTTGATGTTTCATATCATAATTTTAAGTTGTTAAAGTTTTTGTTTGGCAGAGTTAAACCTCCATTGGTATCTCTCTGTTTCTCTCTGTGAATGGCCTGTACAAGGCCAAAGACCACAGCAGCAAGCGTTGTCCTCCCACTCCGTCCGTTCTTTCCTCTGTCTGTAATCCTGTTTCTTGACAGCTGACGCCTTTTGGTGCTGATGAAGTACGTTCGGACATGTCCCTTTCTCTCACTGACACCCTTTATGTATATCTCACCACGCAACTCTAGCACAAAGCCCCAGTCCGCTAGAATATTACGTGTGGCCTCAGGGACCTGAATCCTTCCACTGACTCCAGTGCTGTCCATTCGACTTGCCAAATTCACTGTCATGCCCCAGATATCATACTGGGGTTTGGTGGCACCGATGACCCCAGCAACAACAGGACCATGGGCAATTCCTAGGGGGTACATTGAAGTTACTCATATATACTCATTGTTATTGGCATAAATTACAGGTAACTGTATAGGCTTCATAATCAGAGTGCCTGACATATTTAAGGAGATGTAAAAAATTAAATATTTTACAATGAAAGTGTCTAATGACCAGAGTCTGTCAAGATCCAAAAACGGCAAGTCTTTCGAAGGCATTCGATGCTATAGGAATAGACTGAAATTGAAGTTGGTATTTGCTGAAAATCGTAACTGTAAGTTACAGCAGAACTTTGCTGAAAATGACATGAAACAAAGTAAGGTTGTGAGAAACATAAGTACAGTCTGTTCAATCTGCCGTACAACCCATATTTTGTGGAAATGTATTGTGACGGACACCAAGGTACACAACAACAGTACAAAATATTTTCTTCTATTTCTATTTACAGCCTCATTCACATCCAAATTAAATATGGCATATACTCTGACTGAGGTCTATTCATTGACCCATTACCAACGCGGAGCTGGAAATTGTTTGAGGAATGTTTTTTGTTGATCTCTTTCAGGGTCTCTTTCATAGCCAGAGCGAACAGAACCAACTCACTGAGATGATGCCAGTCATTTACAACATGAGACTGTCAGGATAAAACACAGAACAATTATGGTGCATAGACAGTTGATGGGAAATTCCAAATGTATATAATCAATGAAGTAGGCTGTTTTTTTAACATGGTTTACCTGTTTATCAGGTGATAGACCAGACGCTGCCATGTAGCAGCTCCCAATGGTTTTGATTTTCTCAATGTCCAAAAAATATGACTCCTCCAACAGCTTTTCCAGAGAGAACCAAAAACAATGATGGCTTTGTAAGACAGACTGAGAGATAAAAACAACAGTAAAAAAAGTATAACCTTTCATCAAAGTCCTACCTCATCAAAGTCAGCAATGATCTCATTGAGCAGTCTGAGACACTCAACTCCCTCGTGACTGATCTCCTTCTGCTCGTAGTATTCATTAAAGCCAGCGATTGAGGCAAACATTACCCCCACCTCATCATAGGACTGAGAATACAGCTCCTGGACAAAGATAACATGACATTTGGGCCTTTATTTGGTCTATTTAGTTTATTAGTGGTGCATCATTATTACCATAGCTTAAAGGTTTAGGGATCTAAATGATACCTTAAATTGCTATGGACATTAATAATACCTTAAACTGTGTTGAGCTGTGGTATTTCTCATCTAAGCTATCAGACTTTCTGTTTTCACCTGGTGGTTGATAAGACCATCTTAACACCAAGGGAGCAATTTTTGCAAAGGCAAGCACCACTCACATTTTCAGTCATAATTAACATCATCACTGATGGCTTACATATGACTCTGATGTACCTGATCATGTCTGTTCCTCTCTAGGAAGTGACGAGCAACGTGTGCAGGCAGGATGTTATGCAGCAGACTCTCATTGTGTTCCCTCAAATCTCGCATCTCCTGCACTTCCTGCTGAGCTTGCAAACGCCACAGGAAGTCTAGCCGTGTTGTTGCTTCCCACTGAATCAGGGAATAAGCAAGATCCAGAGAATAAGGATGTGTATTCCATTTTTCCTACATTTTTCCATTCCCTGACAGATAAATGGATACATGCTATAGAGAATACAATGCTTCAGGGCAATGTATTGTCAAAACTGAATACTCATACCCGTCGACCATTGTAGAAAACCGCTATGACAAACATCGCCATCAACAGAATTGAGACTCCCTTTCTTCTGAGGTAGTGAGACCATGTGAGTATAAAATGCAAATACATTTTAACCACATGAAAATATTTTAAAGGCATTTCTAAATAGAATATGTTAGAGATCTAGCATAGACACTCACCTGCTTGACTGTTCCTGCTCTGGTTGATTTACATACAGCATGTGGAAGGACATTTCAATGAAGTAAGTATAGATGACCACCACCAACAACAGAATAGCCAACTTTAAGAGAGAGCTCAGCCTCAGGAACACAGCACAGGTCACCATAGAAACCACCCCACTTAGAACAAAGAACTGTATGCATAAATATAATAGGCATGAAATTTAACAACAGGTAGGTGTAGTCTTCACAACAGAGCTGTTTATGCAGAAGTCACACCTCTGGATATGTGCAGGCAGTAAGTGGCTTCTGGCTGGTCTGATATTCCTCTGTGTCACCGGTGCTTATTTCTCTTGTGTCAGTAGAGTTACACCATATCTGGATAATCACAAGACGAAGAACTAAAATGCCCAATGGTACTTGAATCAGCAACCTTACAGTTACCAGCCTTGAACTTTATCCACTATGCCACACCACCCAAAATAACTACATATATTATGTTTGGGCATGCATACTCTAGAGACAAATTGATGACGTTTAAATCAGAAGATCAAAAACTTAAACATTTATGGCCTCAGCATTCCAAGTTGCACAAAAAAAAACTATTCATGCAAGGCTCACCATGTCAAACAGAGCCATGCCAAAGTTGATGGCTATGGCTGTGACAGTGAGAAGGTTCCGCATACTGTTGTTTTCATGGATCCAGCAGCAGAACTGCTGAAGGACACCGGGAGAATGCTTGAACTCTTCGGCCAGGACCATTATAAGCAATAACAGATATCCCAGCAAGAACAGACAGAACTGCAATGCTGTCCAGTA